TGAATTGGGGGTCTGGAGGGTCTGAGGGATCTGTGAGTTGAGGGTCTGGAAGGTCTGAGGGATGTATGAATTGGGGGTCTGGAGGGTCTGAGGGACCCGTGAGTTGGAGGTCTGGAGGGTCTGAGGGATGTGTGAATTGGGAGCCTGTAACTGGAAATCTCTGGGGTAGGGTTGCAGCCCTCTGACCCCCTCCTGCTCCTACAGATGAGACATGCACCAAGTTCTACCACCCGGAGAAGGAAGACGGGATGCTGAGCAAGCTGTGCCACAAGGATATGTGTCGCTGTGCTGAGGGTGGGTGCCAGGAGCCAGGAAGGGAGCCCTCGCCCACAGGGCCCCCTGCACCCCCCCCCATGCAGGGCCCCCAAAGCCCAAATCCATCAGACACCAAGGACAGGCTGGTGCCTGGCTGTCCCCATGGGTGGTGAGCGCTGGTCAGGAAGTGGGACTTAGCCTGTGCCCCCCACAGAGAACTGCTTCATGCACCCTGAGGGCAAGTTCACCGTGAATGACCGGTTTGACAAGGCCTGTGAGCCAGGAGTGGACTACGGTGAGTGAGCGCCGGGGTGCAAGCGTGTGTGTGAGCCGTGGTGCTGGGAGGGGTCGGGCGTGGGCCCGGCCACGTGTGGCCACGGCTGCGTGGCTGTGCTCCAGGCTGAGGTTGTGTGTGTGTGTGCATGTGTGTGTTGTGTGTGTACGCGCTGTGTGTGCTGTATGTGCGCTAGTGCGTGTGTGTGCGCACGTGTTGTCAGAGCCACGAGCATATAGGGCCGTGGCTCAGTGTGGGCTGGGTATGCACGCACGTGAGAGCAGGTGGACGTGGCCGCGTGGTTATGCGTGTGTGGCTGTGAGCTCGAGCATGCAGCCATGAGACAGCGGTGCCGGGCCACGGCCTGTGTCTGTTGAGTCTGTGGCTGTAGCAGAGACCAGCTGTGCTGTGTGTGTGGCTGGGTGGGACGTGGGGGTCTCGGGTGACCGTGGACAGAGTTGCTGTTGTGCTTGCAACTGTGTGCAAGGCTGTGCCGCGCTGGGTGTAAGTCGCGTGGGGCTGGGTGTGTGGAGGGCAGGATGCAGCTTGTGGACAAAGTCCTACACGCATCTGCTTGTGGGGAGCCGTGAGCGTGCCCAGAGCACATGATCCCCGGAGCAAGGGTGTCCCCTGTACCCGCGACTCACCTTGACCCGCACCCCCTAGTGTACAAGACCAAGCTGCAGGAGATTGACCTGGAAAACGACTTTGACGAATACTTAATGGTCATCGAACAGATCATCAAGTCAGGTCAGCCCCACTCCGTCTCGCCTCGGGTGGCCTCTGCCCTTGCCCGCTGCCTCCCGCTGAGCCCCGCACTCCCCTCCAGGCTCTGATGAGGTCCAGGTGGGGCACAAGCGCAGGTTCATCAGCCACATCAAGTGCAGGGAGGCCCTGAAGCTGCAGAAGGGGAAGCAATACCTCGTGTGGGGCGTCTCCTCTGACCTGTGGGGCGAGAAGCCCAAGTAAGTGCAGGCTGGGGTCTGTGGGGCCACCCCTCCCGCCCACCTCTGCCCCTTGCCGCTGCGCCCCCCTCTGCACCCTCCTGACCTGCCACCCACCTCCCAGCATCAGCTACATTATCGGGAAGGACACGTGGGTGGAGCTGTGGCCCGAGGCCGACGAGTGCCAAGACGAGGAGAACGAATTGCAGTGCCGGGACCTGGCCGACTTCACCGAGAACATGATTGTCTTCGGCTGCCCCAACTGACCCCCGCCACAGACCCCTTAATAAAGCTCTTTGTATTTCGCCTGTCTCCCCAAGTCTGGAGGTCTGGGAGAGGGGAGGGGCAGCTGTGATCTCCAGCTGCACACCTGCAGCCCCCCCTGCAGTTCTCCTGCACGGCCCCACGCATCCTCCTGCCAAAAGCAGGTGCCCCACTCACCTGCACTGAGTCCGAAGGGCACATGCAGCTTCCCCTGCATCTCACCTGCACCCGGCTCCATCGTCTCACCTGCACCCAGCTCCATTGTCTCACCTGCACCCGTCCATCTGCAACTGAATTCATAGCAGCATCCTTGCCTGAATCCTGCTAGCTCACCTGCACGTGCATTTTTTGTTTCCTTACCTGTCTCCCCAACTGCAACTTACCCTTACTCCCATCTCTCTCTCCACCTGCATCCTGACCTGTATTTTCTCGACATCCTCATCTGTGTCTTCACCTGCGTTTTTGCATTTTGTGGGTCTCTGTCTCTGTTCTTACCAGCAGCCTGACCACATTCTCACCTGTGCCCGGCCCTGCATCTGTTCCAACACGGTAGGCCCCCCCACCCCACCCCAACCCCAACCCCCGTCCTCCTCTGCTGCCTCACCATCTTCCCGACTGCGTCTCCTGCATGCTGCCGGCCTCTCTCCCGTTCTCATTCCCATCTGCCCCTCATCGAGGCCCGTTCCTGCCCTCTCACCTGCACCCTCTGACTCTCTGGAACCTCCCAGCCACCACTTCTAGGTGGCCCCGGACCGACTGGGGCTTTGCTCCAATGGTGTGGATTGTGCGGGCCTTGCACCCCAGAGGGGGCGATGCAAGGCAGGCGGTGGTATTTCCACAGGAACCTGATGGAGCGCTAGTGGAAGGCATGAGTCAGCACAGAGGCGTGCAGGGGCGCTCATGTCACAGCAGCACCAGGGCTGCATGGGGGGCAAGGGGGAGGCAGCCTAGAGCAAGGGGGCACTGGCTGCCAAGGAGGACTGGCACACCCAGCCGCCCCCCTCCCCTGACTGCCGAGAGTGGGATTCCGGCTCCCAGCTCTGAACCAACTTATCACAGAAAACAGCTGACCCCTCATCCTGCACAGCTCCCTTCCCCTGAGATTTATGGAAACCCCTACTGCCAAGGCCAGGGGTGGGGGGCAGGAAAAAGATTCACAGCCCACTCCTGCTCCTCCCGGCCCCGATTACCAGAGACCCCTGTCAACAGGACACTCGAGTTTCTCATTTCTCACTGATGTCCAGGTAGCTACCAGCCACCCCCTTTAAAGTTCATCTTCTCATTTCTGCTCTTGCTTATTCCCGTTTTCTCCTGCCTGAGGCCATCAGCTTCATCCATTAACACTCAAGCTGTCATTCTGTTTGAGCACTTATGACTCCAGGCTGTGAGCAGGTGGACAGGAGCACATGACACTTAGAGCCTCGGGACAGCGAGGACTTGATGTCAGACGATGAAGATGCCCAAAGGGCAGGGGGTGGGCCGTCCGCAAAGGTCATTTTGGTGGAGGCTGCTCCTGGTCGGCTGGGTCAGCCCACGGTGACCAGTTGCCTAGTACACACCAGCCCCAGCGTCGCTATGAAGCCTTCCTCTTTGCCTGCGGCTCCCACCTACAGTTGACTCTAAGGGCAGGGCCCCTTTTCCCTCTTTCTGACTTATTTCACCGAGCATGATCCCTTCATTTATATAGGAGGAATATAGGGAAACCGAACAAGGGATGGGGGGGCCAAAAAGGACAAAACTAGCAGGGAAACCATAAATCCAACACATAGAGCAGAGGAGGAGGGGCAGGGAGCAGGGTCAAAACTTGAGGCAAGAGCACAGGAGATAGCAGCCTGATGTGGTGGCAGGAATGTCACGGGGATTACACTGGCGAGGAGAAACCAGCTTGTACAAACTTGTGCAAACATGAATAAGGTAGGGTTAGGGTTAGGGTTAGCGTTAGCATTAGGGTTAGCGTTAGGGTTAGGGTTAGCGTTAGGGTTAGGGTTAGCGTTAGGGTTAGGGTTAGCGTTAGGGTTAGGCTTAGGATTAGCATTAGTATTAGGGTTAGCGTAGGGTTTAGCGTTAGGGTTAGCGGTTAGGGTTAGCATTAGGGTTAGCGTTAGGGTTAGGGTTAGCGTTAGGGTTAGTGTTAGGGATTTTTTTTTTTAAGACAAAAAAGAAGCAGCTTACCCTTGATAAGGTAAATGATGTTCATCCAGTCAGCTGAAGGGCTGGGGAGACCACATGGTATTCCTAAGGAAGAAGGAATTGAGGATGGCAGAGTAGAAAACTTGCTTGTTTCTAGTTTTTGCCTTCAAACCACACTATCAGCTTTCTTTTTTTAAGATTTATTTTATTTATTTATGCATATAAGAGCTGAAATATAGTCCAGAGGTGTGTTGTGGGAGCACTGGACTCACCAGATCCACTGAAATACACTGCTGAGGGGAGCAGCGGGCAGGTCTGGAAAGGTCTGCTGTGCCCTGTGGGTCAGATTGAACTCATGCTGCAGTGGCTGGCGACAGCTTCACAGAACTGCGCTTGAACCCCTGTGCCACCAGGGGAGGCCACACTATCAACTCTTGAAAAGAAGACAGGCTCCGAGCAGAGGCACCTGGGCTGAGCCCACCAAGACTTAATGCCTAAACTAGCAGCTTTCAAGTCCCCTGCAGTTTCACCTATGCCTAGGGATGTAGTCATTGACGAGGTCCTGTGGAATTTCAGGGTCAGCACCCACCAGAGAGAAAAATGAGCTTTCATGGTGTGGCTTCCTCCCCCCATCCAAGCCTTTAGATATGAATCTTTGCAAGTAGCTGCAAGAAACTCTCCTATCTGTCCCAGTTGAAACCTGACAAGGTATTTGAAAGGGTGTTTTTAAATAGCTCTATGGTCAGTAACTGGCCAAGGCAGAAACTGGTATTCACATACTGATAGGACTTCCCCCCAAGGTAATGGACTTCCACTTTGCAAAACCAGAAATGCAACTCGCATTCATGTCTGATGTTATAAAATTCTGACCTTTGGAAATAATTCAAAGTTTTCCTGGAAAAAAATTAAAATTCCTATCTGAGACTTACCATCAAAATGGAAACTTCAGGAACAGAAGAAACGTAAGGAAAAGAAAGCTCTGTTTAAATCTCAGCACTCTAGCACATCCTTCGTCAGAACAAAAGGAAAATGACAGTCTCCTTGGAAAGAAATAATGAACTAGTGAGTCTTGTGTTGGACTTGACTTGTTTTAAATTAGTTAATTGTCAATGGCTATGAAAGCCAGAATCTTGGTTTACTTCTGTTTGTATGTTTGCCTGTTGTTTATGGGTCTGCTTATACTTGCTAATGTATTTCTTCACTAATATATGGTGCGCTCCTATTAATTTGCAAGTGGGTTTTATTGGCTTTATAAGTACTTAAAAGCTCACAAAAATAATAGAAACCAACCCAACTGTTTTCCAAGTTAGCCTGAACTGGGGTTATCTTGGTAAGTTAAAGTTAGCTTAAATTAGTTGGCTTAATTTATAACAGAAGTCTCTACAGAGATTAGCATGAAGCTAGATGCTTTTACCTGGTTTTATAATCAAAATAAGCTCAGGTCAGCTGACTAAGGGTTAAGTCTCAGAGCTCTCACCACTATGGCCTGAGTTTGAGGCCTGAGTTCTATCCCCGGCCAGGGAGCTGACCCACACGGCACAGCAGTCCTCTCCTGTCTCGCCTGCTGCTCCCCTCGGTAGTGCATTTCAGTAAATTCAGAGTTCTGCTCCCCACTCTGTCTCTGGGGAATCCTCTCACCCTCCTGTGCCTCTGGCCTGTACCCCAGTTCTTCTAGATTAAAAAAAAAAAAGCTCAGTTATCTAATAAAAATATCTTCAAATATTGACTGATTTCATCTAATATTCCATCATGTTTATGTGTAACCTAAATGGCAGGAGGTTTAGATATAAGTAGGACCAAAATTTTTAGATTAACATTACAGCAAGAATTTTATTAGTCATTCAAAAATTTTTGGAAATGTGAAACTTCTGGCTTTTTCTAAGTTAAACATGCAAAAGCATTAAAAATCTAGATCAAATGCTGAATCATTAACTATGTTATAGGGCAGGGTGAGGGCTACCCCGGGGCCCCCAAATCTGCCTGCTCTAAACAGGTTCTACCATCTGTTGCATCAAGACAAAACATACTCTAGCACATAAGAGCTTCAGTAGAAAATAACAAACACAATTAGTGTGCAATAAAGAGAAGGGAAGGAATACAGTTTCCTAATCAAACACCCGAAGTTTCCCATCCCCTTGGGAAATGTCCAGCCAAACAGTGCTCACCTAAAGTGGGGCAGCTGGGCCCAAAAACCTGCCACAAGGCTAAAGCACCCCCTGGTGGGGACCACAGGAAAGGGGCAGAAGGGGCCAGGCCAGTCTGGAAGGAAAAGAGCAAAGTCAAAGCCCAAGTGAAGGGCCCTCCCTGGTGGCGCAAGGGGCTAAGCACAGACGCTGGGGCCGTCGCCAGCCACTGCGGCTCGAGTTCAGCCTGGCCTGGGAGTGACCCAAC